GTACCTCAGTTCACAAACTTGATTCAGGTCGCAAACCGAAATGGTTGCGAATCAAATCAAATTTCCCCATAAGGTTCAATGTAAATAAGGTTAATCCGTTCTGTTGAAAACACTAGTTTAAAGTAAACAAGTTAGAATGTAACAATACAGATTGCAGGCAGAGTATGCCACAATATCATAGCAGCCTATATAAAGACTCATATTACAAGCTTCCACCTCTTCACAATTTTTTTAGATATCATATTATACAAATTTCTGTAAATTCTTTTAGAAATCAAGTGAAGCGGCAAACCTGATCAGCAAGTTATTTCTGTATGGAGGCTGCTTAGAATACATGTGTTGAGGCAAGAATTTCCCTGCCATAGAAGTATATTGGCTTAAAGTGACCTCTACTGCACATAGCCAGTATTACAAATCATTTTTAGATGCATAAAGTTTTATTTTTTATTAGGTTATTGGAGAATGTGTCCCTGTTCATTGAACGGGATGAATGCAGAAGTGTCGTTGTTGGCGAGTGCAAAAGTGTGTGTCGTGGAATGTGTTGGTATGCGCCAAAATGCACATAGTTGCAGTGTTGGCAAATGCAGAAAAGAGGGGTTTGGCATGTACAGGAGTGCATGTACTTGCGGTGTTAACAAGTGCAGAAATAAACGCAGGTGATGTATCGTGTGCGTTGGAGATGATGAGTGCAAAATAAACATCATTCCTGTATTGGTGAGTGCAAAAGTGCATGTCATTAAGCTTTGGGCGAGTGCATTACTGCACAACCTTGTGGTGTTGCAAAGTACAGAAAGGTTAGTTTTTGTTGTGTTTTTTTTGGCAAGTGAGTGTAGCTGTGTTGTAGGCAGTAGTAGTGCAGACACGCAAGAATGTGCAATGGTGGCACATGCAGAAGTGCTTGTCCTCCCGGTGTTGGCAGTTGCAAAATTTTGTTTCATTGCAGTAATGCCGAGTGCAAAAGTGCATGTTAGTTCAGTGTTGGTAAGTGCAAAAGTGTGTTGCGGTAACTGGAGAAGTGTGCGCTGCTGCGGTATTGACAAGTGCAAAAGTGAGTGTTGGCGAAGTGTTGGAGAGTGCAGAAAAGCACATTGTTCTGATGTTGACAAGTGCAAAATGTGCATGTAGGTGCAGTGTTGGCTATTGCAGAACTGTACAGAGGTGTGGTGCCAATGAGTGCAGAAATGCATGGGGTGCAGGGTTGTTGGCGAATGCAGAAGTGTACATTGTTGACAAGTGCAAAAGTGGATACCGGTTAGTGCAGAAATGTGCAATGATGTGGTATCAGCGAATGCAAAAGTGTTCACCAGTGCAGTGTCGGCAAGTGCAGAAGTGTGTGCCATTGGATGAATTCGGACATGCGTGTTGGCGAATGCCAAAATGTGTATAGTTAGAAAGTTGGCAAAAGTGTTATTGCCCTGTTGGCAAGTTGTGCAGGAATGCATTGGCATTGCAGTAGTGGCGAATAAAAAAAGCAAATTCCTTTGCAGTGTCAGCACGTGCAAAAGTGTGCTACCTTGCGTTATTGGCAAGTGCAAAAGGGCACGTTGGTGTGGTATCAGCAAGTGCAGACGCATGCATTGGTGTGGTATCGGAAAGTGTAAAAGTGGGCGTAGCTGTAGTGTAAGCCAGTGCAGAAATGCTTGCATGTATAGTGTGAAGTGTGCATTATCACAGTGATGGCAAGTGGAAAAGAGTGCGTCATTGTGGTGTTGGCGAGTGCAAAATTGCAAGTCATTGCAGTTTTTGTGAGTGTAATAGTGCAGGTTGTTACAATGCTGGCGAGCGCAGTAGCATTGCAGTGTAGGCTACTATAATCAGGAATCTAGATGAATGCTTTGCTAAATGTTAATGAGCCATTTGGCTAGATGTAAACTGTAAAGGCCTCTAAAGCCATTGGAAGTGGCAACCCACTCACCTGTCCAATGAAGGGAAGGCTATCGCTTCCCTCTCCAGCAGTAAAAGACTAAGATGAGGGTTGAAAGGATGGGTTATGGGGAAGAGCATGTGGGCAGGCTCTTGTAATCCCAGTTCAATGCACTGTGCAGGAAGTGTTGGTGGATTATACCGCAGCACACTTCCTGTGGACATGCAGATGTTCTCCCCGCAGCCTGTCACCGTTGTTATAGTCTTTCATCTGTGCATGCCTGAACTGAACACTAGTGGAACTCAATGCTATAGGGTGGCCAACAGTCACAAGACCCACTATGCTCTCAGTTATTGCCCAGGAGATGAAAGGAAGTGCGGAGCTAGCTGCCCCTCCTACTTCCTGTATTCTTTTAGGAAACACATGTATATCTTTAATAATACGGTGCCAGGCCAACAAAAAGTCACCACCTGGATTTCACTAAACAAATAGGTGAGAGCTATAGGGGTTGCTGCAGGTTGTCAGCTCTAGGTTCAGCAGTATTATGTGCCAAGAAATAAGGTCAGCTCCCTACCTGAGTATACTTAATGACCAGGTTTTTCCATCAATTGATTTTTTTCTGCCTTGATGACATGGGCATATTCAAAAGATGACAATGTCAGGATTCATCGGGCTCAAATTGTGAAAGAGTGGTTCAGGGAGCATGAGACATAATTTTCACACATGGATTGGCCACCCCAGAGTCCAGACCTTAACCCCAATGAGAAATTCATGCAAATCTGGATGCAAATAAATGTTGTGACATTGTATAATCTTTTGGAAACAATGCCACGGCGAATGCTTGCCGTAATCAAAGCTAAAGGTATT